TTAATTGGTAGTAGGCTTTCGAGCCTATACAGCTTGGAGTAAGACAACATGCACGAAGAGGATGATGTGGACAAAATACTCATTTGCCTAATAATTCTGCACTCCCTGTATAGTGGAAACTGAGGAGCATGATCCACTGAAATGCTTCAGTCCCTATTATTGAAGAGGGGAACCACCACCCCAGTTCACCAATCCAGTGTCCCTCTCCCCAAAGTGCACACTATATTACAAACATGAAAAGAAAAAAAAGGGACTGATAGTTTTAAAAGTTTACCACTGCCACTTAATTTGGGGTATTTTTAGGTTTGGGGGATATTCTGGATTAAATTGGTTAGGGTTTAGTTGCTCTTTTGTCATCATTCCCCTTGATTTTGTTTATACAGAACTTTTTATTGAGCTGGAGAAAAAGCCAAAAAAATTCCTCAGTAATTAATGGTAACTTGCAGATATATTTATTTTGTTTACAATACATTCTAATGTGTCTAAAAGTACATAATTACAGTGAAAAATCTCTGCTGGGGCTTGGTGACTGCTGTACAGTCACCAAGTTATTTTCCCGGTTTGAGTCCAGAATAAACCATTTCATGAGCTGTGGCAGGATCTGATTTTCCTAAAAAAAAAAAAAAAAAAATAGACAATTAATCAAAAACATTTTCCCAGCATGATTGTAATTTAAACTGGATCAGTACGTGTTTATAAATTTTATTCAGGATTTATAAATTGTAGAAGAGAAAGTGCTAGAAAAAATTATCTGATATATTACTTTACTTACCTTTCCTTGTCTTGGCTATCGATTTAATATTCGAGACCTGTGCGTACAACAGGCTAACGTCTAAAACAAAGTCTACCACTGAATTCATAAGTAGTCCTGCTCCTAATCACATCCATCCAACCTTCACTTCTTTAGGGCTTTCTTGGACTTTACTGATACAGGTCTCATAACATTAAACATTAGCCTTGTCACAAAGATTTATGCTTCAGTTGGCACTTTTTTCTTCATTTTTGTTAAGATGCGATAATCAACAGATGATATGACAACACTTCTACTGTAGAAGTAAGGGGAGAAAAAATGTATTGCCTCTGACTGACCAGCTGTCAAAAACAGTCCTAAATTTCTCCTAACTGTTCCCAGATGGGTTTCTCCAGGAATGTCTTACTGCGACACCAAGGAATAAAATACAGATTGCTGATTATTCTTTATGTGATATTAAAAAAAGAAACATTTAAAAGCAGGATTGTTGTCACTGACTGTACTGTACCTGTGGAAGGTCGTATTTTAACATCAGAGTAAACACAACTCTCCTCTGGTATCTTGGTCTTCTCTGTCAGAAGGATAAGACAAATGTCAAAAACCAAACAAAAAAAAGAAAAAAAAAGAAAACACAATTTTCTTTATTTTCTTTAAATATTGCTCGCTTTAAAAACACCTAAACCCATAAATGTTTCCAACATAAAGTACTTACTCCTTGGAGTGGTGTTTTTAAGCTCCACCAAAGAATATGTGACATCCTCTGATTCAACTGAAATAGTGAAAAAGTTATCCATTAGTTAATAGATTATTAAAGGTCCGGGCGGGGTTACCTGGACCTGGGATATAGAGTTTGGGGAGTGCGACTGTCTGTGCAGTGTCTATTTGTGTCTGTCTACACGTTGGGTGAGTGCCGAGTATTTGGTTGTGTATATGGGGTGGGAATGCACGTCTGTGTCCGCGTGTGCCTGTTCGTCTGTGTCTACATGTCAGGTTGGGTCTTAGACCCAACCTCTCTGGGTACATCTCAGGCCCTCTAAAGTACGGAGGCCTATCTCCCCTCACCACACTCCATGCCGGTGGCTGATGCCCTCAGATGTTGGTGTGTTGGTGGTCCTTGTCGGCTGGGCGCTCATATATGTACCGGCTCACTCCTGGTGGC